AACCATTTCTTAATTCTAACCAAAACTCAACGTCTGTCCAACGGTGGAAGTTTTAATGTCAACCATTTCTTAATTCGAACCAAAACTCAACATCTGTCCAACGGTGGAAGTTTTAATGTCAACCATTTCTTAATTCTAACCAAAACTCAACGTCTGTCCAACGGTGGAAGTTTTAATGTTAACCATTTCTTAATTCTAACCAAAACTCAACGTCTGTCCAACGGTGGAAGTTTTAATGTCAACCATTTCTTAATTCGAACCAAAACTCAACATCTGTCCAACGGTGGAAGTTTTAATGTCAACCATTTCTTAATTCGAACCAAAACTCAACATCTGTCCAACGGTGGAAGTTTTAATGTCAACCATTTCTTAATTCTAACCAAAACTCAATATCCGTCCAACGGTGGAAGTTTTAATATCAACCATTTCTTAATTCTAACCAAAACTCAATATCCGTCCAACGGTGGAAGTTTTAATATCAACCATTTCTTAATTCTAACCAAAACTCAACATCTGTCCAACGGTGGAAGTTTTAATGTCAACCATTTCTTAATTCTAACCAAAACTCAATATCCGTCCAACGGTGGAAGTTTTAATATCAACCATTTCTTAATTCTAACCAAAACTCAACATCTGTCCAACGGTGGAAGTTTTAATGTCAACCATTTCTTAATTCTAACCAAAACTCAATATCTGTCCAACGGTGGAAGTTTTAATGTCAACCATTTCTTAATTCTAACCAAAACTCAATATCTGTCCAACGGTGGAAGTTTTAATGTCAACCATTTCTTAATTCTAACCAAAACTCAATATCTGTCCAATGGTGGAAGTTTTAATTTCAACCTTTTCTTAATTCTAACCAAAACTCAATGTCTGTCCAACGGTGGAAGTTTTAATGTCAACCATTTCTTAATTCTAACCAAAACTCAATATCTGTCCAATGGTGGAAGTTGATATAAATCCAACGCTGGGTTTTGACGCCAACCCGATTTTAATTTTGAATCAAAAGTCAACGTCTGTCCATTTTTTTCAAACCAAAATGCGACGTCTCTCCAACACTGAGTTTTGACATCAACCCAATTTTTATTTCCAACCAAAACTCAATGGAAGTTGATATAAATCCATCATTGGGTTTTTACATCAACGCGATTTTCATTTCAAATCAAAACTCAATGCCTGTCTAATGTTAGAAGTCTAAGTAAATCCAACATTGGGTTTTGGCATCAACTCAGTTTTCATTTCCAACCAAAATTCAACATCTGTCCAATGCTGGAATCCAACACATTTGTGGTTAAATTGACATCCGGTGCCAGTTGGGTAGAGTTAGTTAAGTTTAGCGCAAGAAACTGCTTTTAGTGAGCAGCATTCATGCTTTGTATCTCCTGAAATGCATCATTGGAGGAAGAAGTGGATTTGAAATCAGGTTCAGACTAAGTATTCAAACCAAGTGTGAAAACAACATAAATTACCTTTCGAGCGGCACGCAGGCAAGCCCTGCCATTGGCCGTCTGGTCCACATGTGACCTGTGGCGAGCCAGTCAGTACAAATCCCTCACTGCAGACAATGGTTGCAGTGTCTTGGGGTGTGTACTGTGTCCTTTCTCCAGGTTTTATCCATCTGTTTGCCACAGCAGGTGCTAAACACATGATCTTCGACACTAAACCAGAAGAAAATAAACAACTGATTGTGCCAAAATCATGACATCTGATTACAGGAATCAACCACAAGAGGGCGACATTAAGCTGCAGAGCCAGTTCTACAAATCTTGGAAAACCCACCTCTGATTTAGAGGGATTTACCGCCATACAATCCTCTTACATCTAATACATTAGTAAGTGTCTGTCGAAACGGCTCCTGCGTCACACTTTTTCAAAGTTTATGGTTTTTAGAAGATATAATTGTATTTTGATGAGAATGTGATTGTGACCCTTAGAAACATTGTAGTGTTTTAATAAAATTAAGGTAAATTTTTGTGATGATTTTAATATGACAAAGGGTTCAACTCACCCTCACAGATGGGGTCCGTCCCACTCCAACCGTTTTGCATACACATACGAACTCTTTCTCCTCTCAAAACATATCTGCATGAGAAAACAATTATATTAAGGAGCAAAAAGACATTAACATCATGAAATTGAAACATTATTGGCCTGCTTTAGTAAAACCATTTAGTAGAAGGAGATCTAGAACAATCTATGGATGCTGAACCAAGTCAAAAACATAAGCAACTTTCTACACTTATTCTACCTGTTCTATTTATTATCAATTAACAATGTTTTCACCAATTTATGGACTGCAGACATTTAAAAACAAAATGAAAATAAGGTTCAAATACCCTTTATTACACGTAGCAATGGCTTTATCGCCAAATGATTGTCCTTCTCGAATGTACTGCCCGTTCTCTACGTCACCTAGCGCATTGCACTTTTTCTCTGTGAGAGTAAATGAGAAAATATGAAAACGTGGAGTACAATGAATGAATAAAAGAGATATTTTAGAGACACAGATAAACAGATGCATCTTACTTTGGCATTTCAGGTTCAAGGCTGTCCAGTGTCCTCGCAGACACCGTGATGTTAGACTTCCTTCTGATGGTGTGTAACCCAGGGGACATGTATACACCACTCTTTCTCCATCATTGAACTTTAATTTATGGAGATAATTTTTGTGCAGCTGCTTGCCGGGATACTTTGTTGGTTCGTCACATCGAGTAGACAAATGAGACACTGAAACAGTTTCAAAGCACAGCTCAACAACAAAAATAAAAGTGAAAATGCAGTTGCCTCAACAGTTTTGTTAATTATTATGCATGTTGGTGGTCATACTAAAAATAGCATATGCTTGCTATTAAATCACTTAATTAGTTACCTATATAATGATACTGATAGTCTGTGTAAAGGTGAATAATCCATACCGAGTGTTTTGAATGTAAACTGTGCAGTAGTTAGATATTATGCAATTGTAAGACTCCAGGTGGAGGGAAATCTATTTTAAACCTGTGGTTAAGGGAAGAAAATCTCTAAGGAATGCACAAGAAAACAACTCCACCTCGTAGCTTATTAATTTAATGTTTAACTTTATGCCTATGAATACACAGCATGCATTGATCTTCCAGTAGCACTGAATATTGCCAAAACGGCTTATACATAAATATTTAATTTATGGAGATAATTTTTGTGCAGCTGCTTGCCGGGATACTTTGTTGGTTCGTCACATCGAGTAGACAAATGAGACACTGAAACAGTTTCAAAGCACAGCTCAACAACAAAAATAAAAGTGAAAATGCAGTTGCCTCAACAGTTTTGTTAATTATTATGCATGTTGGTGGTCATACTAAAAATAGCATATGCTTGCTATTAAATCACTTAATTAGTTACCTATATAATGATACTGATAGTCTGTGTAAAGGTGAATAATCCATACCGAGTGTTTTGAATGTAAACTGTGCAGTAGTTAGATATTATGCAATTGTAAGACTCCAGGTGGAGGGAAATCTATTTTAAACCTGTGGTTAAGGGGAAAAAAATCTCTAAGGAATGCACAAGAAAACAACTCCACCTCATAGCTTATGAGTTTAATGTTTAACTTTATGCCTATGAATACACAGCATGCATTGATCTTCCAGTAGCACTGAATATTGCCAAAACGGCTTATACATAAATAGAAATAAAGGATTACTTGAATAGTCATCAGTTCAAATATAGAATATGTGTAAATACTGGCTGGAATAACGGTGCGGTGTATCAAATGCAGACGTGTCAAATCGAGCGTTTGATGGTTATATGGAGTTAGTTTGGTCGTGTAGACATTTAAAAGTTACTCACCAACGAAGTGCGCAAACACAAGTATGAGTATATTCCTCCAAACAAGCTCCATATTCACGGACAACTGCAGATGAACTGAAGGCATCTAACAGTTTCAACCCAAACAAATACTGTGTTAAAACCACACACACACACACACACACACACACTGTCGTCACGAGAGCTCAAACCCTGCCCTCATTTCAGTTTCAACTCGCAGCAGCTTTTCTACATCAGGTTTGCTTCTTGTAAAATAACAATAAACGACTGACTCGTTCAAATAATATCAACATTTAAGTCGAACAGAACGCAGGTCCATCGAGACGCCTTTATGACTCTCTTAACTAGCTTAGTGTTTATTATGTTACTAGTATATTGTTATATGTTACTATATGGTAACCACAAATGTGACACTGGAGCACAAAACCAGTCATCATTTTTTGAAATTGAGATTTAAACATCATAAGCTTTCCATTGATGTATGGTTTGTTAGGATAGGACAATATTGGGCTGAGATACAACTATTTGAAAATCTGGAATCTGAGGGTGCAAAAAAATCTAAATATTGAGAAAATCATCTTTAAAGTTGTCCAAATGAAGTTCTTAGCAATGCATATTACTAATCAAAAATTAAGTTTTAATATATTTACGATAGGAAATTTACTAAATATCTTCATGGAACATGATCTTTACTTAATATCCTAATGATTTTTGGCATAAAAGAAAAATCAATAATTCTGACCCATACAATGTATTTTTGGCTATTGCTACAAATATAGCCCAGCGACTTAACCTCCTGACTACCAGCTATGGAGTTGTGTCCACTGTAGAGGACATTATGTTTTAGCGATTTCTCTGAGACCTCACATGGCACAGTTTTAGGTCTGGGTGTCCTGTACGGAGCACATTCAGGGCTTTTCAGAGATACCACATGATTGGATGTTACACCATGACCTCTCCCTCTCTATGGTCTTTAAAAATGGCTGACATTCATTTAGTGATCAAATGAAACACCCTAATGGAAATATGATCATATTTTGTAATTATCATTTAAATCTGACTAATTGACAAATATGGTGAGGGGCGTAACATTTCCGTCACACGCTTGAGGTATTCGGCCAATCACAACGCACTGGATAGCCGGCCAATCACAGCACACCTCGCTTTTCAGACCGATGATCTTTGTAAAAATCGACGCGTTTCAAAAAGGCAGGGCATAGAGGACAAACAATAATGTACAGTATGTGGAAAATAATGTTTTTTTTACTTGAAACCGCATAAACATTTCATTACACCAAAAATAATGTTCTTTTTAGCAACATCATATGACCCCTTTAAAGCATGTTTACTACACATTTTGGGAGACACAACAAATGAATATTTTATTAAGAAAATCTGGCTAATTAGTACTCCCATTATTGCATTTATTTGTTCATTCTATGTTGCCCCAAAAATACCTTAATTATGCAAATTAGATTCAGTTTATAGATACATTGTATATAATGGAAAAAATAGTTTATGGCCATTTTACACACATTTTGCATAAAGAAAAAATGTTTTTTAAACATATCTTTCATAACATAGTTGAGAATCATCTTTATATAAAGTTTGGTTTAAAAAAATGAAAATTGATTTCTGGTTAAAACAAAAATCCCACTCTTTTTGCCTTTTCATGTCTATTTATTTTTTTAAAAACAGGACTTTATAAAGTCCCGATGTCCTCTACAGAGGACATGGCATAACATATGAATAAAATATCATTTTTCTAAATTTTTCTTATGCTCTAAACAATGTAGTGACATGACAAAATACTAAATTCACAAAACTGTTTTTGTTTTGTGCTCCAGGGTCACATATGAACAATGGTTTTGCTACACTAACCATAGTTTAACCATTGTGTTTGTAGTAAAACTTTGGTTATACAAATGGTAATCAATACGCCAAAAAAAAAATGTTTTTAATCGTACTGTTCACAAACTTTTGACTGATAGTGTATATATATATGCCTAACAATATACATTGAATTACTTATTCATTGAATTACACTAGTCTTAACGAGTGGCTATGTTTAAGCAACTGGCCCCAAAACTGGTAAAGGTTTTGCAACATATCATTAAAAAAAGCTCATCCATGTTTAATGTCTATGACTAGAGTATTATCGCTCCTTCATAAGTCATACATTGTATGTACGTTGTATTGCATTGCATACATTGTTTATGGACAAGATGTTAAAATAATATTTTGACAAAATAAGAGCAACTCAATCAAGAATGTCAGTATATGGTTTTAAAACGATAAAGCAAAGTTTTATTTGACTTGCAGCAGCCTCAACATTCACAGTTATCTTTTGTCATCCTTGAGACATTTTGCATACACAAATGTTATCTTGGGAATACAGAAGATTATTCTCAGCATCATCCTTGATCGAGTAGTCCTAACAGTAGACCTAACCTAACATTCTCAGTCTGCACATAACTTCTGACTGTATTATTATAACAACATCCTCTGCGAGAGATCCAGTAAGGCAAGCAGGCGGTTTGAGGTCAGGCCGGTAAAACGGGTCAAAACACTCACACCCCATCTTAAGAAAGACAGTCATTACTTCATCCGCTTCGGGTGGAGCACCATTTTAATACATAATGCCACAGTTTCTGTCGTTCATCCCTGATGGATCTTTTCCACCTTCAGGTTGTGATGAACTTACTGTGGAGACACAATGTGCCACAACTTTGATGTGTTTGGCAAACGCAACCTTGATTTGAAGAGAACACGATTGGATCAAAATTTCAGGAAATAACAAATTGGAATGATTTTCTCAAGAATTCAACATCCTCTAATCACTGTACTTCCCAAAACTAAATGACTCACCCGTTTATCACTTCTTAAACATACTTTTAACAGCCATTGACAATATGGATGACTCGCTTGATGTTGTTTCAGGACCAGCTACAAATGTTCTAAAAAAAGGAACGCACTACTTGTTTTCCAGAGCTGTGGGAGCAAAACTGTCCGATGTTGTGTCTGTGAAGCTCAAACAACCCACCCTTTCCACATGGCAGGCCAGTCTGGACCAGAGCTGTTTGTGTGACTCTGGCCACTACGAAGGAAATTAAAACATAACTTACTCCACAACTTCAATCAGCCGTTAACCACAGAACAATTTTTTATTTTTTTTTACTTTCATGTCAGTGTCTTTTGGTTAATTTTCACCAAAAATGCTTGGCTACATTAAATTTAAATAATAATAATAAAAAAGAAACTAATGCAAAGCATATCAACTAAATGCATGTATTATTCCGTCAATAATGGCACCAAGAGCTTGTAACACTCCAAAGAGAAAGGAAAAATTGAAATCGCATCATATGACCCCTTTAATTGCAGGGTAATTATAGGTAACTAAAACTAAAACAGTAAAAAAAAAGTTTGTTACTTGAAATAAAATAAATTATAAAGTACAAAAATATATATATATTTCAGCAACATTTCTCATTTTAGTTGAATTTGAAATTTACTAAATTAACAAACTATTTCGATATTAAAAAAATAACAAAACAGAAACATAAAATTACTACAACTTTAAAAATATAAAAATAAAATCTGATTCAAAACTATAATAGTATATAAATTATAGTAAAATAACAGTTTAATTGCTATTTTAATGACAGAAAAAAATTGTACTTGCATCACCGACTGATTTATTAGATCACAAAATGTTTATCAATAGATTAGCATGACATACATATTTAGTTATAACTATAACACATAACAGTGATATAGATATTGTGATGCAATGAAACCAGAACACAAAATGTATTTTCTGTAACACCTTACATTAAAATAAAGGACTTGGTTACACTTTGGTTGCGAACTAGCGAAGCAAAGGCACTTACAGATCTGATCATATCAAATCACTCATATTTGGATTAAAAAATAATAACAAGCTGCACGAAGCAACGACAATGCAGCCTTCGATTGATAGGAACACATCCTTAACAGGCCATCATAACATTCAACACACATTAAGAACATACTTTGTGCGTCCTAAAATCAGAAACGTAAAAATCTGACAACTTGAACTCAAATTATAATTATAAAACTATTTAATATATCCTTCCAGATCTGAGGCAAGATAAAAGCATGTATAAATAACATTTTATAATGAAAGATAATCTAAATGATAATAAACATGAAAACTTAATATAACCGTATGAGTTTCAATATCCTCAGTAATATTAAACGTTCTAAAAGATCCATTGAAAAATCACTTACAAGATAGACCTAACTCTGTAATTAATGATTCATGAAACAATGAAAGGACACATTCCTTAAAGTCTGAATCAAGTTTCCTTGAGTTTCAGTAAAACCGTTAAAATACAGAAAAAAACAGTAATCTTGCAAAATGTTATTACAATATAAAATAATGGTTTCTATTTTAATATCCTTTAAAATATAATTTATTTCTGTGATGCAAAGCTGAATTTCCATCATCATTACTCCAGTATAAAGCGTCACATGATCCTTCAGAAATCAGAATAATATGCTGATTTATTATCAGAATTATTAACAGTTGTGCTGCCAAATATTTTTTTGAAAACTGCGATACTTTTTCAGGATTCTTTGATGAATAAAAAGTTAAAAAGAACAGCATTTATTCAAAATATAAATATTTTCTAACTATATAAATCTTTGCCATCATTTCTTAACAATTTAACACATCCTCGCTGAATACAAGTTTTAATTTCTTTCAAAAAAAGAAAGAATAAAAATTTACTGTAGTGTTTGAACTGTAGTGTATATTGTTAGAAAAGATTTCTATTTTAAATAAATGCTCTTCTTTAACTTTTTATTCATCAAAGAATCCTGAAAATGTATCGCAGTTTTCAAAAAAATATTTAGCAGCACAACAGTTTCCAGCTCTGATAATAAATCAGCATATTAGAATGATTTCTGAAGGATCATGTGACACTGAAGACTGGCGTAATGATGCTGAAAATTCAACCTTGATCACAGGAATAAATTCTATTTTACAATATATTCACATAGAAATATGTTATTCACAAAATATTCACATAGTTATTTTAAATTGTAAAAATATTTGGTATGGTATTTTTTATCAAATAAATGCAAATAAATGGTGGGCAAAAGGGACTTCTTTCAAAAACTTTTTGAATGTTATGAAGAATGTTAAAAATACATTTCTTTTTAAAATATAAAATCAAATATCTTTCAGTATTTGCAGGAATGCAAACTCATCATTGGTGGAAAAGGTGACAAAAATGCGAGGCCGCCCTCACCCAACACACACACTTAAACATATTTTTTAAACACTTATAATATTTTAAACGCTTTATTATTTTTTAACTCTACAGCTGTGCTGTAAAATTCACTTTAAATATTCACATTTCATTCATGAAGATGACGAGAAGAAAAATTGTCTCCTGGTGGAAAACAAATACTTGTAAGATGAAAATGACATGAAATTACAATTATATCCAGTAGATGGCAGCAGATGATCACTCATTAGCTCAGTTGCCATTTCCACTCCCAAGTCTTGTTTTTGGATTTATTACAAAATGACTATGAAGTATAGCAAATGCAGGAAGTCACAAAGTCCAAAGTCTCATGTCATTTAATAAATAAATAAATAAAGCCCAGACACCAACAGCCTAGAAGGGTTAATTATTTAAGTACTTAACAAGTTAACTACAAATTAAGTTCATTTTTAATGGTATAATATAATAATGCATTAAATATTTAGAAATTTTTTAGATTAAATTTAAAAACAATTAAAAAAAAAAACATTGCTTTAAAAAGGACTAATCAAAAAGAGTGGTTTAAGTCTTTAACTGTAGAAGCTGCTAAATACATTCAGCCAACACAGACTTGCTGCTGTAGTTTTGTTACTCTGAATTTTCTCTTGTCAGATCCGTCCATTGCAGTTATCACCATCAATGGCAGAACAATTTAGCGGATTCACTCATGTAGGGTTGGGCCGATAGACGATGCCATCGTCCATCGCCGATGGCTGATAGACATCACGATGTTGAGCCGGCATCGTGATCCCCCCCCCCCCTCCCCCACATCCCAATACCGTGTTCGGAAAGAAAATGACGTGTAGGCGGAACACCTAAAGGGAATAAATATTAGATGGGAGGAAAATATATATTTCAATATTTTTCCTCGCAGTTATATAATTGGGTAATTAT